AAATGAACTGCTGAATTATTTAATAGGCTATAACAAAGCTAATTTAATAATTAGAAGTAAATTTAATTTTTTATTTAGATTAAAATAATCTGGAAAAAAGATTGGTCCAGAGTGAAACTTGAACCTGCAACTACTGCTTACTGTGCAGATGCATTACCAGTTACATTACCCAGATCTCAATCCAATCTTTTCATATTTAACCATACTAGTTATATATGAATTAGTTAAGTAATTAGTACTCCTAAAAGCAAAGATTTAATGAATAAACTGGCAACATGTTTGCATGGTAAGCAGGAGTTGTGGGTTCAAGTCCTGCTCTGGGTCAATATTTTCTTCCAGATTATTCTGAATTAAAATTAAAATTTAAGTTAGAAGCTTTTCTTTTTTTGAATATTTGCATTAGTATGCAAATTATAGTCAAACACTATTTATATTTTCAATCAATCAATTTTACCTATTTAGGGTTATCACTTCTATCTAGGGATAACAAAAGAAAACATTTTTTACAAATATGTGAAAAAACACTTTTACAATTGAAAAAAAAATTTACAGATCTTTTGATTGAAGTTACAATAATTAAATATTAATTTAACAAGTTTAACCTATATATATATATGTAATATGCTTAAGTAACAAAATACAAATATTTTAGTCACAATTGAGATGTTTAAATACTAATTTAACAAATTTCCCATACCATATTTACTCAAATATAAAATGATCTCATATATAGGATGACATGTGACTTTAAAGATCAAAATAAAGAAAATCAGATTTATTAATACAATTCTAATTTTATTTCATTTGATCACAAGTAAAATATCAAATGAATGTAAATGCACACATTGTCCTGCAAAATTACTGGCATTTTAAACTTTAAGAAAAAAATCTTGTAAAATTTACAACATAATTTGTTCACATAAAGCTGGACAATTGGGAATCTTTTTGCCAATTGTCTTAACAGTCAAATTCACTCTTCATTGATTACACTTATGCTGTTTTCACGTGGAAATGAATTAAAACTTATATTGGGCTCCCATGTAATTTTAGAATTCAATTCAAAAGCTTTGTTTCTCCTATTGCTATTCATCTTTACACCTGACAATAAACAAGAACGATTCAAACAACCCAGATAAAATATTTTTATTTTTAAACACCAGAAGGTGAGTATCTGGTAAAAAATGCAAATACACAGTTTACAAAAATTATACAAAAGCAATCCTTCACTCACACATATAGGACAATCTAGGTTTTTGAGGCAGTGAAAAATGGATGAAAACCTCGTCTTATATGCGAGTAAATACGATGTTTATATGATTTATATATAGATGATAATGAATAATAAATTTGTTGAATGTCACAAAATAGTTCTTTTCTGTTCTTGAAGTTCTTGACAGTATAAAAAAAAGTGGTCATTAGAATTTTGAGGGTTTCCATAGAATATATGCAAATATTTGGATATAGAAGAATAATTTGATTTTTGTATTTAATATGAAATTTATTTAGTTTGTAGTAATATAGATGAGTCTCATAGTGAAGATTGTAATTAAGTACATAATGTGTATGTACTAAACATTCCAAATACTGTGGACAAAATATTGATTTATTAACTAGTTCTTGATCCAACTGTCTACATCTAAACTACAGTAGAGCCTCGATTATCCGACCCCTGATTAACCGACACCTCGGTTAACCGATCGTCCTAGTCGGCAAATTTCAAATGTCCGCTAGTGATGTGGCGCTACAATATTTGGCTACGTCTTGGCTACTTTAATATTATTTTTACGTGTTTTAGCTGGCAACACTCATTTGACCATGAAAGGGAGCCAGTATTTAAACGAGGCTTAATTTTCTAATTTTTAATGATACAATAGCAACGATTATTATTTTAAAAAATTTTTGTTAGGCTTAACATTGATGAAAATTCAACGCAAAGTAGGTTAATAGCGATATACTAATATACTAATTACATGGGATATAATAATATACTACACTAATAATGGATTTTTCATACTTTTCGGTTATCCGACTTTTCAATTATCCGACCAACCCAGTCCCCAATTGAGTCGGATAATCGAGGCTCTACTGTACTACTGTAGTTTAAATTTAGTTTAAACTGAGATCAATAATCTCAATAGTTCTCATTATTCTCAAAAATTAAACCAAGATTAATATCAAAAATTAAAACAAGCCTATTTTTATAATAATGTTAGATTATTTATATTTTGATATATAATATTTCAAACTTAACTTTATCATTTCAATATTTTTTTATAATTAAATTCTAAATCCATGAAATTACCGTTTTGTTTAATTTTTTAAATTATTTTTTACTGTATTATCTAGGATTCATAAAATATGATATTTAGAAAACAATGAAAAGATAAGAGTATAAAAATTAAGTATATAGAACACAAAATGCATATTTTTAATTATATCATATAATAATAAAGGTATAAATAAAATGGTATTAATGAAATTTGTTAGTTAATAATTTTTGAAATAAATTTATTAATTCAGAAAAAAAATAAAATTACAATAATTGATTGAGAAGACTGTTAGCCCATTTATAGAGCAGTAATCTTTTCTTTTATCAATATCCCCAACAATTTAATTAAATCAATTTATTTAATTTATTTTAAAAAAGGAACAAAACAAAACAAATCAGGAAAAAAAGAACAAAAAGTGTCATATTTTGAATCAGCATAAGAAAATATCTATGGCATATCCTATAAATAACTGTATAAGTTTTAAATACATATACAAGTAATTTTGCATGTTGTACAGAGTTTATCAACAAATATTTCTAAAGTGAACAATTATACAAATATCGATAAATTAATTTATATTTTGATAACTTTCAGAACTGGATTCTTTCTTAAATCTATTCATTAGTTTCTTTTTCAAATTTGAGATACTCAATATTTATTAAACTTCAAAATTTTTGTTTTAATTTCCATGTTATTTAATTTTCAATCACATTTTAGTTGATCATCTCTTAATATTTCTCTTAAAGGAAGAAATATTAATAGGTTAAATTATCTGATTATAATGTGTTATTTTATTTAAAAAGTTATTCACAAATTAAATTCAACAAGCAATTATTTATTGTGACATTTCACAATGCCAGGCTGCAATTTTATTAAATGCTTTCAGAGGAAAATTTTTGAATTTAAATAACATGACTTTCAGTTTACATCAGAAGTTCTTATATAGTTAATTGGGACCTCCAGCCCCTAAGGTTTTCATATCTGGTCTCGTCTTTCATCTATCTAACTCCGTTCTCAAGATTAAGGAAAGACAGATGGAGGATGGTCTACAGTGGGAATTTACAGGTCCACAATTTTTTCAAATTGCAACCAAAAAAAGAAAAAAAAACATCAGTTATATATGCATCAGTCAGCTTAATATATACCAGTTATCAAATTGTTTTGTTGCTTACAAAAATAAAATAGGCATCTAATAGTTAATACATAAAATATTTAATTACACAAAAATGATTTACTAAATGATTGAGTTTTGAAATTATCAAAAACTACTTTTTATATAAAAAAATTTCTTAATATTTTTGATCCTGTTGTAAGAAAAAGATTAACAAATTGAATTTGTTTAGGAACCAAATAATATAAAAACAAAATTCTGAAGAATTTTGAAATTCATGAAATTCAATAATTAATATGGAAATTAATTCTAAAAATGATTGAAATATAACTGAAAATTGAAGAAATAAAACCCTTCTAATAAATAAATGAATGAACCTTTAATAGTGGTAAAGCTTAAGGACTGCTAACATTGTCAACCTGGTTAGTAGGCCATCTTCAGTTGTGGACAGTGGGAATGTGGAATCATTTCCACTGAATCATTCAACATTTCTTTTTTCCAGTTGAAAGTTGAATGATTCTACTTTCAACTGTTCTTGCCTGAATATGACCTATTAACTGTGTCAAAAATATTAGTGTTCTTTAGTTAAAAGTATATTAATTAATTCAAAAGAGTAACTACAACAGCTATTTTATCTTCTGATAAAAAATATTTNAAATTTATAGTTTTTATTTTTAATTAAAATATAATAATTTCAAAACTCTTTTATACAGTATGTATTTAGTATATTACTATTTCCAAGGCCAAATAGAAGAGATGGAGTCTGAATCAGACACAAATGTGCATGCCCCACCCCTCTCCAACAAACCATAAAAATATATGAATAAATCAATTAAACAAATAAAAACAAATACTTTATCAATTTTAAAACCATTTAATTTATGCCTCATTATTTAAGTTGTTTTTTTATATAAAAGATTGAATTTTGGGCTCTGTGTCTGAAGCAGAGTTAAATTAAAGGTCCTGCCATCTTTCTTCCATATAAATCTGATTATTTTTAGAGCATATTTCTAATTACTTTTAACATAAACATACATAACGCAGAAAATATGAAAAAATGTCGTACATTTACTATCACATTAAGCACTCAACATCACACAGAGCAACGTCCCATAAACTGTACAGTACAAGTACCCAGCTTACTCATGTGATTAACTTGAATATTATGCATTATGAAATTTCTGTTTTCGTTTTACAGTAAGAAAAACTGAAAAGCTAAACATATAATTGTATAATTAAGTATATTACAATCACGTGTAATAAATAAATCAATCAATTTCGATTTGAATATATTTTTAAGCTTCTTTAAATTGAAATTGATTTATTTATTACACGTGATTACTGTAAACGATTATTAAATAGTTGTAAATGAATTATCTTGCATATTTTTATATAAATAAATTAATTAATTAAAAAAATAATCAAAGATAAATCTTAAAACGACAAAATCACCTTAACCAATGTTAATGTCTTAATATACAATTTAAACTCAAATAATGGAAACATGTATAATTCCGAAGGCAAATACATTCATTACGCTTATATTTTACTTAAAAAATAACCTTAAATTAAGTAATTTTAGTCAAAATAAAATTCTTATAAGCAAAACACTCTCTCACCTATTTATCGTCACGTGATGTTCTAAGGCGCATGTGTTTGAGCAGTGTGCTCGATTGTGACGTCATTGAATGTGTATTATTTTAGCGGAAAAATGAAGATTAGGAAGATACCGAGGGATGACACGAAGAGAATGAATATAAAATATCGAAGAAAGTTTACTTCCTGAATGCGATAATGGGGTGCGTTATAACGAAAAAGAACCGCAATCATCGTTTGAAGGATGTTTTGCCGGAAGTGAACATTCAAATTGGTAACAGGGTGAAGCCTAACAGTTTCCCTTACAAGATCGTCTTCGTCTTCGGTAATTCTCAATTATACTAATTAAAATTCCTAGTTATGTAATAGTATTACTTAATTATATAAAATTCTTTACATATGTTAGATGATTAATGAGAAAATAAATTGTTAAACAGAATGATTAATCATCATCATCATCATCATCATCATCACGAGGTGATCCTCTTGCTTCATTGATGAGGCCGGTATTCAGCACACGGCTCCTTAAAGTGAATTAGAGAAGAAAGTGATTCACGTGCTTCTTTCTAATGGAACAAATGCAGCTCTGGTTTTTTTTTTGTTCCTGTGGGAGGCTGACTGTAACATTTACAATCCAACTGGGAACATATTTTAGAGTCAGTGAAATTGGGTCTAAAATTTATTGAACTTTGGTTACTTTCTAAAATTTATTTATTGCTCCATAAATAAATTCATAAAATCGTTCTGTTCAAAGATTGATTTTACAATCATATATTAAAAGCATGAAAAATGGGACGGTCTCCAAAAATCGGGGATGGCTATTTGTCCTACCGATGGGCATGATCTATGACTCTGATAAGGTCCCGACTGCTTCGTTTGGAGATGCATTTATGCCTTTCTGATCAATTTCTTTAAATTTTCTATTCGGTATAGTTTTCTTCTCTCTTTCCAAAATTTTTCCACCATATATTTATGGAATAAAGAATACAGAATATAAATGGATGCAAATTATGTAAATTTTCTTTATAATGAATGTTGGCTTGATTTCCTGGATATTCGGTATTTTCTCGTTTATTAATGGAACAGTATATTAACATCTGTCTAAAGTTCAAAGATTTATACAAGTTATCATAGGTTTAATTCAGATTTTTACATTTACAGAAAGATCTGTAAAGGACTATAAAGTGTTTAATGCAATATTAGTCATCTAATATAAAGTTATTTGAATTATGGTTTCTATCAAAATTTCATAACTAGAATACTATTATTAATTTTTCTGCATGGTTTTATCAATACAGGTATGTGTCATTTAACAATAGAGATACTACATTCTGAGAAATATTTTGTTAATCAATTTTGTCATTAAACAAAAAATCATAGAGCCTACTTAGAAAAATTTATATGATATAGTTTACTATTAATATAAGCCATATAAATACCTTTTAACCAGATGATTATAGAAAGTGTTTAGAGGTTTGTGGGTTGAAAGGGCAAAAATCAACTTATTTTCTTAATTTTGTGTTATTGGGTGAAATTGTTCATTATTGTATTAACAAAGAAGCACATATATTACTACGTCATATGTTTTTTATTTTAATAAATGTATTAAAACATTAAAATTTATAATCCAGCAATTTTTATAAAATGTACAAACGTTTCAACATGGGCAGAAACACTTGCACTTTTTATAAAAATTGCTGGATTATAGATTTTAGTGTTTTAATTCAAGTATGACCAGTTTTAAGTGATAGTATTTAATTAATGTATTTCTATATAACTGGTTTCTTTTGTAATTTTATTGTATGTGTTTAATAACATTATTCTGAGAAGGGGTCTGTGACCATCTGATTAAAAAAAGGTCCATGAAACAATAGAGATGAAGAACCTTGATATAAGCTATATGTAACACAATTTTAATACAGTAAGTATCTATGTACAGTACCTAAACATAGAAAAAGTATAGGTGATTATGAATTTTTCAGCTCTAACATAATCTTATGAGACGGGTGTTGTATATGTAGTTTGTTGTTAAGTGGAAGGTTGTTAAGCAGTGTACACCTGTACATCAAAATCAATTATAACATAATGAAGTTTTAATTTTTAATATTAAACCTCATATCGTGTATATAAGGGACAAATCATAATGGAATAATACTTAAATTTGTTTATTTTTTAAAAAAAATATATTAAGTAACTTATCTACGAAGCTGACTTACTTGTGTGTTCTCTGATATATAAATCACATCAGTAGCTAAATCAACTAAATGCATTGGTTGCTCAAAAGTGCTTAGGAAAATTGATATTTAGAGTGATCTCCAACAATGCAAACTTTTGTTATAAATTTAAAAATTTTAAATGAGAAATTAGCCATTTTATAAAAAATTGAATAATTAAATAAAATTGACATTAATCAATTATACTAATATTACTTTTATCATTACAATGCATTACTGTATTTTGTATAAATTATTCTTTTTCTACGGAATCAAATTTCCTACTACAAAGTCTAAGTTAAGAGCATATACACAATGAATAATAATAATATATATGAAAAACGTAAAATTTCTGGAAATATTGAATCAGTTTATTTAGAATATAGTATTGTATTCATTTTGCAAACTAATTTTTTATGAAATAAATGTATTACAAAGTGTATCATATTAGATTTTATAGGTTTTTCAACCCAGAAATTTCTAAACAAATTTAATAATTTGTTAATAAGGACTTATTAACTTGTGTTATTATTTTGAAAAACTATTAGACTCTTCTAGATTTTTTGTTTTTTTTTAAAAAAACACTGCTATAATAAATGTATTTATCATATTACAGTAGGATTTTATTATAACAAATTTTGTAATAATGAACTTTTCAGAATAACAAACTTTTAGATTTTCTTCAATCCAACCTCCATTGAAATCTACAACAAAAACTTTCAATTGTATGAACATATTTATAACAAACTTTCATTATCTGAAAAATGTATATAAAATCAAAATCCTGGATTGAACCAATCATGAACTCATGAACTTTCAATCTTTTAACCAATCATGAGTTCATGATTGGTTAAAAGTTACACCAGAACTGGATGAGATTACAAATGGGTTTGATAAAAAAGAAGGCACTCTTAAAAGAGGAACAAGTTGTTATAGACACAAGTGTATGTATGGTTGTTTAAGTTTCTTTTAATTTTGTTATTTATCTTTTTATACTTCACTTTCTTAAGTGAAGTATAAGATAAATAACAAAATTAAATTAAAGTTGCAAGGGTGTGATGACATCCAGGGGAGGGAAATGTAGTTTGCTCTTCTTAGTATAGGAAACCAAAACAAATGATTTTAGATGTAAATTAAATTGATGAATATAGAACTAAACTGCTTCATTTAAATGAAAGAAATTTAAAAAAGATGTTAGTATCATACTGTATATAACATTTTCTTTCCTATTTGGACTTCACTTTAGCTATTTAACTTACTTGATAATAATAATTTATATACATTATTCATTACAAAATACTTTCACCTTAACAAATATTTTTGAGAATTTCTTCAAATTCATTATAGATTTCACTTTTTAATTATAATTACAATGGTTATAAACAGGGCCATGGAGGATGATCATGAACTCTGGGACTAAGGCCCAGGACTATTCTTTCTGACATGATATTCTTGGTATATAACATTCTATTTTTTCACTTTTTATGCTTGAAATTACATAAATTGATTTTCTAGACTTTTAATTATATTTAATAATAATTAAAATATTATTATATAGATTCCAGCCTTGTCCCAGGATTTAAATCCAACTTCCTAACCCTTTCATTGGCCCTGGTTATAAATGTATTTAGCATAGTAGTTTTATAACTAATGCTTTAATTAATAATTAAATAATTAATGCTATTTCTAATGTTGCTTACTAATGAAATGAAGTGGGATGAAATGGATTGTTTGATTGTTTAAGTATTGTTAGGCTTATAGCAATATATTTGTTTATTTATAGAATGAAGTGAAATAACATTTCATTCTATGTATACAAAGTGAGCCAAAATTCTCCAAACTGATTTCACAAAATTGTGGTGAGTTTTTTAATGCAAATAAAAACATTTATATATCATAGTTATGCTTCTTGATTTCTTAGACTTTGAAAATATTATTGCAGAGGATGTTAGAAGTGTCCCTCCATGTTCCTACAAATGCATGCAGTGAGATATGTTTGTAGCCACACATCTTAGTGCGACTGGAGAAATGTTATTGATGGTAGCAGTAATATTTGTTTACAAGGATTACAGGTCTCTTATATTATTTCTGCATGTGTGTTCTTTTAGATAACCTCATATGAAGAAGTCAGATGATGACAAATTGGGAAATGTGGGAGGAAATCGCACTATGCATCATGCATATGATTTGGATTTGAGAAACACCTCCAAAAGGAAAACACATTGTACTTGTTAAAGAGACATTCTTATGCATGTGGATAGCCTACACTGCTGCATTATGATGTTGAAAAGTCAATAGGAAACTGATGCAGGTTGCACTAACCTTCATCAGTTTCCTATTGACACTTCAGCATATCTGGTATTATTTTGAATTTGCCATTGCAGAGTTTATTTAATTGCTTTAGGGCATTGTTATTGTCTTTACATGTTCTCAAAGATGAAAGGAAGGCAATGAATTTAGAAATTTGTAGCACACATTAACAACATCAATATAAAATAAATATATATATATAATAATAAATATAATACACATTAACAACATCAATATAAATAAATATATATATAATAATAAATATAATAATAAAAAATATTAAAAGCAGAATTTGGGGACTAGGTTCTTCACCTTGTATTTTTTGATAAAATCACATCTTATATTACTCAAGACTATAATATTAGATATAACCTGTAAGAACTTTTATTCATTTTAATGGATGCAAAAGATATATACTTCAATATTATTAACTAATTATTAATAATGTATTATTTTATCAAATTGCAATATAATATAAATTCTTATGTATGTGTATTATGGTCAGGAAACTTATGTATGTATATTGTACCAACTGATAGAAAACAAAGAATTTATACTGTATGTAAATATGTCTTTTGCTTTATACTGTTTATATACACTTTTACAACAATATTATGTGCAATAAATAAACATAATGTACTGTACATTTAAACTGTGTTATTTATGTTGTTAACAAATTTTCTGGATATTTGGTCATCTGGATTGGGCCCAGTCCCATTTGAGCCAGATATAAAGTATTCCACTGTATAAAGTAATAAACTTTAAGTTATTTTTAAATTAACAAGATATAATATTCAATTGGTTTAGTATTATTTAATCTCAAGTTATTTTGAAGATTGTCAATGACAAAGGCAATTAATACTTTTATAGTTGTTCTAAATGATATTTTTTATTTCCATTATAAATCTGTTTTAAATCTTAGTTTCTTAATTTTGTACATTTAGATATTAATGAAATATAAATAATATAATGATAATATAAATGTTATCATCATCATATTAGTTTCATGTTACACTCAGTGTTTTATCCAGTTTATTAATTACTTATAAAAGAAGAAATATAAAAACTTATTAGATAAATTTATTTTTAGTTTTTTTTTAATCTTTTGTGATTATTATTACATTTTTAAATTAATTAATTGTATTGTTTAGGTGGACCTGGCTCAAGAAAAGGCAGAATTGTTAATGATTTAGTACAAGGCTATGGCTTTCATGTTATTAATGCTGAAAATATTATAAGACTAAAACTAATGGAAAAAATTAATTCCGAATCTGAAGAAAGTGAATTAAACAAATATATGGGATCAGCTAAGGATTTTGAGCAATTATTAAGGGTAAAATGTTGTATATTTTTCATTAAACCATGTGAAAAAATAATTTTTTTTTCAACAAAAAATGAATAATGAACTTTGTTTTTCATTAAATTTAAATTTGTCAAAATATATATTTAATATATTATAAACTGAAAGTAATGTATTTTTAGCATAGTATTTTTCAATCCAAATAACTTAGAGAATCATGTCCATAACTTAGGTTTTATGAATAAATATTATCAGTTTTATTTGAATAATAACTGCATATCTTCTGTAAAGCTTGAAATAATAACTACCTTTAAATAATAGCTGCATATATTATTCAAGGATTTCTGAAAACTTAGAGAAATGTAAAATTAATTACTGTAAATTGCAGTACCTATGTACTATATTTATTTATTTATCAAACAAACTTTGTAAATATGTAAAATGTACAATATACAGAGGTGTAGTTTTTTAAGTATTTGCTTATTACTGATATGTAGAAAGTAACACTTGTTATAAAGAAAGATACCAGTTGCTATTTCAAGTATAATTTGCTTTAAAAATAAAGCTTTCATGAATAAGTATTTAAATATTTTGTATATACATGCTTGAGGTCCATTATTAATAAAGGAAATAACTGCTCTTGAATGGTAACCAGAGAAAACACAGAATAGTAACACAGAAAAAATATGTAGTTTTAAATTGTGGTTGCATCTATTATTTGAATAAAATTGGTATTTAAGAAAAATATAACATACTTGAAAATAATAAAAGTTGTAAATTTCTGATTTAAATATATAATAATGATTTTATTCTTTATTTTATATCATTTTTGATAAGATTTAGATATTTTATTTCATAGTTTTAAATTCTTAATATAGCATTTAAACTTAGCATTTTTATTGTTCAATAGAAGAGACCTAAAATTTTGACTTTACAATGGGTATTAGAAAAGATCTCAGAAGAATTGCAACAAGCAACAGAAGAAGGTTGCAAATATTATTTAATTGATTTAGTACCTAATTTAAGAGCTATATTACAAGTATCTACATTCATAAAAGATTGCAATAAAGAAATGGAACAATTTGAAAAAGAGGTATTTGATTTTGTTTTGTTTTAAATAAAATATTGTTAATATATATTCATGATCTTACATGAAAGATTTTTTGATTATTAATTTATAAATAAACATGTTTAATTTAGTGGCCTTGTATGTTCGCTCTTAATCTGGCACAATCTGAAGAAACAATGGTAGAAAATATTTCTACTGCTGTAGCAAAGAATCCAAATCATATGCAGAAAGGAGGACAGAGTGATGAGAAAGATTTTACAAAGACTAAAGTATTAATTCTTTTATTTTAATAAATAAAGACATTTATTTGAGAATTTTTTAATGTTTTATTTTAAATTATTCTAGAAACGATATGAAGAATATTCTTCCAGTGTAAAAGAATTTTTGAGATACTTTGAAGAATCAGAAAGATTAGCGACTGTTAATGTATCTTGTGGAGTAGCTGATCTCATTTGGTCTAGAATTTCTGAGTTTTTCTTTAGTATGGGATTCAAAAATAAAATGGCAATAAATACAGTGATTTTATTTATTTTTAGTAAGTTGTATTATTTATAATTTAAGAAACTATGCATTTTAGGTTTTTGATTAACTGAACAATTTAATTCTAAAGCACTTCTATCAATGGAGGGCTTCAGAATTAAATTGTTCAGATAATTAAAGATCCTGTTCCACTAGTTATTGTTACTGTAGTAATTGAAATTACAGAACCAAAAAAATATCTAATTATGTCGATAGCGTCCGGAACTTGTTTGCCGTTCGTGTGTACCCCTACTTACCCACTGCTCATAACACATCCTAACAGTTCTATCAGAACGGTTCAGATGGCGGCCAATCCGGCAGTATGACCATCTTCCTCTCAATCCAACAATGCGACCTCTCTTAAACTCACTTAACTGAGTGTAAGGCTGTCGAATGCGTCGTAGAGGCATGTCTGTCACTCAATGAAGTCAAAACCATGAATAAAAGTGCAGAACATATGCACAAGTCGTCACAGCGTGCACCTTTATACCAGGCAGCGGAAACATTTTTTCCCCTCTGGTGGCGATATAACATAAGAACCTACTCTCAAAAGNTCCTTTAGTCACACATTCCACAGTTTAGTCAGTATTACTCATACTGACTAAATTGTGGATATTTTCTGTCCATAATATAAATTAAGCATGGTCTTATAATCTAATATGCATTAGTGTCCTGTGCAAACAAGCCAAAGTATTAATTTCTTTCTGAATTTTTTATAGGAAAATTTTTTGAAAATTTATTTTTTCTCCACAAAATATAATTTCCAATATTATTACCAATAATAAAAAAAAAGATATCATAGATGAAGTATATGAAATTTCTCTCAGAATTATCAAATATATTCATTTATAAGTGATTTTCATTTATAATGAATTTAATTTTAAAATTTTCTAAATTTTATCTTATAAAAAGCATATTCTAGTAAATATTTTATTAAAAGAGAATTATTCTTTTTGTAATAGTCATAACATCACATAAATGATGAAAATAGGACATAAATCTCTGATGTAATATGATAATTAGATAGTCATTAATATGAAAAAGAGTGAAAGATTTTAAATGATTTAAAATATTATTTTTTTATTTTACAAAATTAATAATTTAAGCTTTGAAATTATTATTTGGATATTACCAACAAAAACAATAAAATCATATTTTTAAATATAAAATTTAAACGTTTTCATAGAGTTAACAACATAAATATTTCAATACTACAGATTTTTTTAAATTTAAAATATAGTTATTTACAAGAATTGTTATGAAAAATTTTTTAATATTCATTTCTTCAGAAACAACAGAAGTTCAACACAAAATATAACAAATAATGATTTAAGTTTATATATTATTTCCAGTAATTATCTTATAATGGAATTTATTGATTTTTATGATTTTTCATCAGATTATTAGTAATAATTGCTAATAATATGTTTGTGTAAACTGTTGCAAGATTGTTATTTAATAATAAATTTAAAATATTATGTGATAAAATAAAATTCATTTGCACTTTTCATTAATTTAATAAAAATTATTCGATTTATCCAAGTATGGTATTTGAGAGATAGAATTGTAAACATACATGTCAAATCAGCTGTAGAAGAATAAGATAGATAAATGAGTAAACTTTATAAAGTAAATATTTAAAACCTTGCTGACGGTATTTAATTTTTAAAAATAATATAAAAATATGCAAGGAAAAAGTTTTTTTGTTTTCTCTCTCTCGTTTACATCAGTGTTTCCATTTGCATTATATTGTAGAGGCAGAGCCTCAAAGAAAAGGTCATATCTGTACACGAAAGTTCTGTTTTTGGACCGTCACTGACATGAACGATAGAAAGTAAATGAAAGCAAGAACTTTTCCTTTTGTATTTTTGTGATATTTTTATACTTTGAAAAATGAGGAAACTTTCTTGTTTACCTTATGAATTAATAATTTGCTGTTAATGAAAAAATGCAAAAACAAGATCAATAATCTGAATTATTGTTAAAACTTCATTTCATGTGTTAGTGTTAAAAATACAAAAATATTTATAATCACTTTGATTTATTAATAGACAAAAATTTGTTAACTTCTTCCCAAAATATACATATTTCAGATAATTAAGACACTCTAATGAATTGACAAATTTTTAAGATTTTTCATTATTATTATTTGTTTAATTTTTTTTATTTATGAATTCTGTTTTTGTAAATAGAAGGAGATGATATATCATCAATAGATCTAGAAAAATATCGAATGGAATTAATTCATGCAAATACATTGATGAATATATCAAATGCTTCTTTGGTAAGTATTTTGTTTTCCTTTCAAGTAAGTTATATTAAATTATAAAATAATTTATTTTAAAATACAAAATACAATTTATAAGTATTTCTTGTTTGTAGTGAGAGTGATAAATTTTCATTTGTTTAGTATTTTCAATTCTGAACAGTAAATGTTCATTGTAATTATTTTTCATAGTTTCTTGGCAAATAATGATCAAACTGTTTTAAATCTAACTATAGATATATCAATTTTATGTTGCAGATATATATTATTTCTCTTTCTGTAACCTGCACCAAGTTATATAACAGAAATATCCATTATAAATCTGACAAACTCAAGTTTTGTCATCAAAAACAAGAAATAAAATAATTTAAAACAATGTTATTATCTGTAAAAAATGTTTTATAAATAGTTTTACACAAAAACTACTATAAGATATTACTAAAAATTTAAATGTATTATGTTTTAATTNTTGCTGTTAATGAAAAAATGCAAAAACAAGATCAATAATCTGAATTATTGTTAAAACTTCATTTCATGTGTTAGTGTTAAAAATACAAAAATATTTATAATCACTTTGATTTATTAATAGACAAAAATTTGTTAACTTCTTCCCAAAATATACATATTTCAGATAATTAAGACACTCTAATGAATTGACAAATTTTTAAGATTTTTCATTATTATTATTTGTTTAATTTTTTTTATTTATGAATTCTGTTTTTGTAAATAGAAGGAGATGATATATCATCAATAGATCTAGAAAAATATCGAATGGAATTAATTCATGCAAATACATTGATGAATATATCAAATGCTTCTTTGGTAAGTATTTTGTTTTCCTTTCAAGTAAGTTATATTAAATTATAAAATAATTTATTTTAAAATACAAAATACAATTTATAAGTATTTCTTGTTTGTAGTGAGAGTGATAAATTTTCATTTGTTTAGTATTTTCAATTCTGAACAGTAAATGTTCATTGTAATTATTTTTCATAGTTTCTTGGCAAATAATGATCAAACTGTTTTAAATCTAACTATAGATATATCAATTTTATGTTGCAGATATATATTATTTCTCTTTCTGTAACCTGCACCAAGTTATATAACAGAAATATCCATTATAAATCTGACAAACTCAAGTTTTGTCATCAAAAACAAGAAATAAAATAATTTAAAACAATGTTATTATCTGTAAAAAATGTTTTATAAATAGTTTTACACAAAAACTACTATAAGATATTACTAAAAATTTAAATGTATTATGTTTTAATTTAAAGTAATTACAAAAAACATGATGTACTATACACACAAAGTTTTTTAATCTATTTTATTTTTGCAAATATAAACTGATTAGTATATTGAATAAATATAAAATTGACACAATATATATATAAACCTATACTTAATTATATGCTTTATATCTATTGCAGATATAAAATGCACATATTGTTATAGTATTTTCAAAAATCTACTTATTCACTTTTAAATTTTGCCATTGATATCTTATAAGATATATTGTAATTATTTTTTGAATAGTACAATTAATTAGGAAAACAATGTGAAAATAAGTATGAAAATTTATTATAGTCATGAATATCTCATACACATTATTAAAAAATGTATAAATTTTTAATGCAGATTGCATTGACTCTCACAAGATAAGTTTTAACAACTAAGATGATTCAGATTTATATTAAATGATTATATAAAAAGCATTTATAATTCTAAGAAACTACTAAAATGGAGAATTGTCTGAATTTGTATAATTTAAAATGATAGGCAAAATAAGAAGTTTATTAATGGAAGTTATTAAAGATAGGTTAAATATATTAGAGAAAAAGATATTTTAACATAAATACTTGTTTCAGGAGTTCCTATAAATAAGCTTGTTCAAATGTTTGCTTTTAATTAACACATTGTCTTGTAATACAAGATAATTTGTTGTTGATTATTTTAATGTGTCAACAAATCAATTCCATTGTAATTATATACATTTTAATAAAATAAACAATTGCTTATATGCAATGTTATAATTATTATGATATCATTAGTATGTTTATCATAATAATTGATGCAATATGATAATGTATTGATAAAATTTATATCGTTTATACTTTAGGAGGATTTATTTCTAGCTCTAAATGAACATATTAAAAATTCAAGAGTATCTATTGAGTCATTTGTAGTGGATCTCAAAGATTATTCTGTGTTTGAAAAATTACAAGAGAAAGTAAGAATACTTTAAAGTTTAAATATTTAATTCAATAAAAGATTTTTTATAACAACATTTAATTATATTTTTATAATTCTTATTGTCATACTAATGATTGCACTTCTTTTTTTTTTTTTGAAATACCAATGTTAATTCAGAATTGAGTACAGTAATACCTTGACTTACGCTACCCCGACTTACGCGAACTCGGAGTTACGCGATTTTCAAATCTCGTCGATTTGTCTTTTGTTTGAGCGCCACGCAATTCTTGATTACTCCCCCCCCACACTATTGTTCAGCTTAAATGTTGGGACATGTCGCGCGGAATTGACACATAGCTACAATTTATTTTGTGTTTGTTATATCTACGGAGACTCAAGAGGCTCTATGTGGTGATTTCTTGTAACCGTGAACGAATCAAAAGACAAGATAAGATTAATGAGAACATTTATTAGCTTACATCCAACTTGGATTTTACACAAATTGCGAAATTATACCCTGACTTACGCAAATTCGAGTTACACGGTTATCGCTCGGTCCCACCTATCGCGTAAGTTTGGGGTATTACTGTATTCTATGTAGTAATCAAATTAATCATTTGAGAAAATGTCTACCAAATAATTCAATGATATTTATAAAAATAATTACATAAAATTTTAAGTAAAGTAATAGAAAATTTAATGCATTTTTTATTAATTTAAATTCAGGATTATATGCATTATTAATAAACTAAAAATTAAAAGTTAATATGAATCAGTTTTATATGAAAAAAATATAAGGACATATTGTTATATTCTAGTTAGAATTTTAAAAATAACAGATGTATAAATCTGTTTCAACACAATTACATTACTTATGTACAATTAAAATAAATTATGTAAAATAAAATAAAGATTAGGAATTGCAGTCCTGGAGAGATTATTCAATGTTGGCATTACAGGATTGCAATTTTCTTAATCCTAGAATTCATTGTTCTTATTTTTGATGAATGACAGCACATTATAAATTCATAAAGTATTAATCAGTTCTTCAAAAATTACATACATGGTGTGTTCAAAAAGTATCGGACCTTTGGTCGGCAAAAATAAATTTATTGACTTTGAGGTACAAAACCCTAATCCCCTTCAAAGTAGTCTCCTTGGTAATGTATACACTTCTCCCAGCGTTCCTGCCATTGCTGGAAACACTGCTGGAACGCATCTTTTGGAATGGTTATCAGCCGGTCCGTCGCATTTCGCATGATGTCTTCTCTCGACTAAATTTGGGTTCCTTTTAGCGGCATTTTCAGCTTGAGAAATAGCCAAAGGTCACACGGAGCCATGTGGAGAGAGTACGGAGCGTGACGAACCACAGGAGTATTGTGTTTGGCGACGAAAGCCCGAATCAGATGCGCAGAATGGGCGGATGCGTTATCACGATGGAGCTACCAAGTTTTGATTGACCACAGATCCGGTCGTTTGCGTCGCACTGTATCGGAAAGACGACGAAGGACCTTCTGGTAGTACTCCTTTGCGATGGCTTGGCCTTGTGGTGCGTACTCACGACACACCACCCCATGAGAGTTGAAAAAACTGTCAACATGACCTTTGATATTGCTGCGGACCTGCCGTGCTTTTTTTGGCCTCGAGGATCGTCCCCGAAAGCCTGCTGAATCTTGCGAATGGTTTACGCTCAGGTATCGCCAAGGTTTTTGGCAAAGTTTGATGTAATATCGCTGCTCACGTTGTTCAGTCATTTTCCAGCTTAGTGGAATCCGACGAGAGCGCACTACATGACCTCACTCATAGGCCGATTGCCAACGACTGACGCTTCCTGCAGGCGGGAAAAAATTCAGGGCTGTGCATGACTGTCCCCCTCCACAACTCCACCGAAGGAGGCCTCTCGCACATCATTGGTTTATGCGGAAAAAAAAAGATCCGATACTTTTTGAACAGACCTCGTAACTCATTTCACATTAAAAATTATTTAATTATTAGTGCCACTTACAGAAATTTCTGATTTTTGCATTTCCTAAGATCATTTCTGAGGATCCAGTGAATTTACAAAACATATATTTACTTGATTTATTCTAGTTCAAATAATTAAACCATTAAAGTAATTCATACATTTTCTCAAATGATGCCAATTGTTATATATGAATTATTATGGTTGTTTTGATTCTTGCATGGCATATGAGAATTTAATACATGTATAAACATCTCAAAACCTAATATGGACAAACAATTGCCGTAATATTTTTTGGATACTATTAATAATTAAATTTTAAGTAATTTGTTATATGCCATCTCTTTTTAAATATAAATAATTTAGAATATTCTGGAAGAAAAGAATTGGTCCAGGGTAGGACTCATACCCGCAACTCCTGCTTACTGTGCAGATGTGTTGCCAGTTACATTACTCAGACCGCAAGTGATTCTCCATTTCCAGACATATTTAGTCTTAGATATAGCCATCCATGGTTGCTCACAGTGCTGACTGAGGATGACTCCTATGCCCACAGCCTTACAATAATCCAATCTGGCTCTCATCCTGCTATCGCTTTACCCCAACATAGTGTATACATTGATGGTTATACCTAATATTAAGTATGTCTGGAAGTGAAGAATCACTTTGGGGGTCTGGGTAGCAAAACTGGCAATGCATCCACATAGTAAGTGGGAGTTGCAAATTTGAGTTGCAAATTTGAATTCCACACTGGGCTGACTCTTTTATTCTAGAATATTCTAAATTTATTTATTAAATATTAATTTATTAAAATTGTTAAATTTAATAAGAGATGTACAACTTCGGTCATACATATTCTAAAATTGGAACGATACAGAGAAGATTAGCATGGCCCCTGCGCAAGGATGACACGCAAAAATCGCAAATTTAATAAGAGATGGTATCTAATGTCTATTTCTAGTAACAAATTACTTAAAACATTATTATTAATAGCAATAATCCAATACATTACAGCAATTGTTTGGCAATGAGAATTTAAACTGAAACTATTCCGAATACTTTCTATCTTCTAAAATTCTGTTTGTGCAAAGATATTTTGTATGAATGCATATTACTTGATTTTTAAAAATCATATTTAAAAACTTAATTTTTTTATACAAAACAGTTGTGGATCATTCAGGCTCTCTTTTTAATCAAGAGAAAGTCTAGATCCAGAAAAAGTGAACCTGGATAATAAATTGTATAAAAATTTTTAAAATTTCTGTACTTACTTTAATATACTATTATTAATCATTACAAAATTTTTTTTGAAATTCTATTAAATTCTGTTTAATACAAATTTTCTAGGATGACAAGCAGATATTTTTTGTTGATGGTGGAGAGAATCATCTTCATCAATACATATATGTTGGATCTCAAGCTAGTAATTGCAAGAAAAATTTATTTGAAGTATCTTTCAAAGCAGTATCCACTACTGAAAATGAAATATGTTTATTCCCAAAAGAAATCCCAACTGAAGTTTGTAAGCAGCTAGCTGTTCTTTATGCAGATACGAAAGAAGTTGTTTATAATGGAGAGCTAAGTAATAATAATAGATCATTATAATACTTCCAAACTTGTATAACACTTCCAAATGTTTTTACAAAGTAGCTATTATTGAAGTTAGTATAGTGTTAAAACATATATTTTTGTTGTTTTACTAATAATACAATACTCAGATCGATATGAGTAATTTTTTATCCTTTTAATTGTAAGAATAATGTTTTTAGTTATATATTTTTTACATTTTCATCATTGTATGGTGTATAATTATAATATAAGCAAACCACATTTATTATTATACAAATTTATTGTATAAATAATTTAGTGTACACCACAATATATTTAATATATATTATGAAAAATATAAATAAGAATTTTGAGATAAATCAGTCTTATATAAAGTAAATTCTGCTTATTGAATCAGATATTGTTAGTCAGTTATTTAATTAATATCAAAATTACCATGTCCCAAGACATATAAAACTAAAATATGCTTATAAAACTATGCTTTTGTAAGCAACATTTTGGTTACAGTTATCATTATCTTCAGGTAAATAGGCATTTTTTAAGCTGTTGTTTCCTACTATTTCCTTCAATATGTGCTGATATGCAAGAGTGTTATCAGTTATCTGTGTTATAGTATGTTAAATATTAACTATTAATATTTAATCATTATTTGCATGCAGTATAGTAGTTTAAATTGCTGAATTTCTTACTTCCGTTATATATTGGATAACTTATAACTTAAAGGCTTATTAATTAATAGTATCTTTTTTAATTCTAACATGTTTTTCTAATATCAGACTTAATAAAACTAGAATTTCCACTAATTATAGCTTTATTTATTTACCCCACTTCTTGATAACTTTTATCGATATAGGCTAGTCCCAAAGTGATTACAATAAGCAGAATCTACAGTACATTGTATTGATATATTTACATGTAAAATTTAATAACTTTATTTATTTAAATTTAATAAAAATTTGTGATTAAGAAATTAAATTTTTAAATTAGATAATATTTTGGCAAAGAAATTGTGAATTCAAAAAATTTTAAAAAATATGTAATGAATGTCAAATTATACCATTTAAAAAATAGCACTGTATTCTCACTCAAGATCATTATTCATACAAATAAACCTGTTACATGCCAAAAATAATCATAAAAAGAAAAGCACAGTTTTGCAATATTAAAGAATTAGCAAAAATTATAAGAAATTCATTATTTTCAAACATATTATGAGGAATTATTTTTACAAAAAAATAATAATGATAATTTTTTGTTTATGCTCTGTAAAAATTGATTCTTGATGATGAAATTTATGAAAAATAGGACATACTCAAATGCATTCACTAACATATTTTGCTTAATTGTCTAATGGTTGTGTTTTAAAATCTCAAAACAATGTTTTTCTTTGTGACTATCATTCTGTGCATAAGGAAACAAATTACATTATCAAAATAACACTACTTTTAAACAAAACCAAAATGTTGAATAACTTTAAACTCTACAAATTTTAAAAACTCATTACATCACTTTAATGTTTTAGATATAATTTTAATATATGTTTATTCTGAAAGTTGAATGAGAAACATTAAAAGTTTAATGCAAAACAGGAGATAAATAATAATGGTTATTTTTAAAACACTTTTTAAAAAAGTGTTTTAAAATAGAACTTTAATAAATAGTCAAATTTGAAATGTCTGTGTACTTTAAGATTGATTTTGATTTATTGTTGTATATTCTACAAAATTAAAATTTTTAGATTTTTTTTTTATTTGAAATGTTTTTCTTGAGTTTGAAATTAACTATTCAAATAAACAATAAACTCTAACAAAATTTTTATTTTTACATTTTTCTTATTTAAACTATTTTTGTCCTTGTGAAAATAGTTTCTGTATTTGTAAGATACCAATTGAAAAATATTTTTAAGATTTTAAATTAATAGAAATTGCTTTTTCTCAGAATTATTTATTCACAGATTGGAGAATGATTTTTTTCCATTAAGAATATTTAATAGAAATCCATTAAATTATTATTTCACTTGAATAAACATTTATGAAATTTGTTATTTGTATTAAATATAAATAAATTATTAATAATAGAAATATGTTTTGAAAATTTCCATAATTAATTAATTATTTTTTAAAAAATGCTTTGATTGTAAATTCTAATTTTAGTAGTGCAATGGCTTTTCTTGATGGCTGTATTAATTTTGATTACTTTTTAAAATAATACTGATAGAAAATTGAAAAAAAATTTAAATTTATTTTTCATGCATGAATTTTACAAGCATTAAAATATATATTTTAAAATGTTATTATATGTGCATTACATATATTTTTTGAAATTTTTGTTAGTACATAATAATAAATGCCCATAAATTTTTTGAAAACATTGTTAGTTTTAATCTAGATTGGATTGTATTTGTTTTCTGATGCACCATTATTTAATGGGCTATATGGTCAATCTCAGTTTTATTCAATATAGCTAGATATGATATACAGATTGGTCAGTATGAACAGAGGCTGGAGAATAACTCTATTCTTCATACTCTGTTCTTACTTCCCAAATTTTTATGAAAATAAGTTATTTGAATCCAGATTTTCTATGGTAGAAGAGTTCTTTGTAATTTTATCCATTAACTGATTAATGACACAATAATCTTCTTACAATAAAATTAATATTCTCAGCTTTTAAAATTAGAAATTAATTTCAAAGAATTTTTTTGTTATTTATTTGTGATAAATAAGGTAAAGAAACATTAACATCCAACAAATATACCAGTATTTAATGGTTAGATTGCATTCTGCAGAATAATGATGAAAAAACCTTTTGCAGCCAGTTATAGACAAATAAGAATATTGGTCCAGGAATCAGAACTTGTTTATTTTGCAAATGATTTTTAGAAACAATTTCCAAAAGTCAGATCATAAAATTTCTTTCTAAAATCTATATTTTGAGAAATTATGATGAAATTGAATTCTCTTGGGTAAAATATTACAAAATAAGTTATGATTTTTAACCAGTCATTATTTGTGTGCAACTGTTTACTTAAAATAGTTATCTTATTGCATTTTCATGCCACGTTTGTTTTTTAGTTTAATTATTATGATTCTTTTTATTTTTATTTTGTTGTTATCTATGTAAAAAAAACTATATCATTTCTAATATCCAAAAATTGAGGACATGTTACATTTTATTATTATTTATGTACTTTGTCTTGTAGGTTTGAATTTTTGATATAGGTATTATTTTGGTTTTAATCATCCTTTCATGTGTGTCATTATCTAGATCAGGGATGGCAAACCTTTTTGAGTCTGCGTGCCACATATTAAGCATATTAAGCATACTTTCCTTTAAAAATAATTATGCGTGCAGGAGTTTTAGACTTTTAGTAACTATATTTAAATTTGGCAGAATGGCCAAGTGGTCAAAGTGATAGCTTATTGCTCTTGTGGACCCGAGATCAAAACCCCAGAAAATTTTCAGGTGGTGATCCATTCTTCACCATCTAACTGTTCAATTTGGAGTTAGCTAAATAAAAAAGCCCTCTTAGTGCCCACAGGCAAAAAAAGTTTTAAAAAGATTGTTAAANTAATGAAAGTCACTTAGCGTGCACAGGCGAAAGCCTGGGGCCGTTTGGGCTACCAAGCTGTCTCAAATCTGTGAAACCATAACTGTGACTTATACCGACGTCCTATTTCTCTCTTTTCTCCGTTATCACTAGGCTATGAGTCATGTAATTGTAAAATGGGAAATCTACGACGGAAAAGTGACGAATCGAAAGTATCATGAGCGCGTATTATGATGTATGCTTAGGCATATGTGGACTAGAGCAATAGAGGAAAGAGAAAGTGAAGAGCAAAGACGAGCGCTTAAAAAGAAGGATAGGCAGGGTCAGACCCTCGGATGTGAGACGATTCTCGAACAAGTAGGTGTGTACTGTACATGTGCTGATCTTTCTAATTATAAATTGTGAATACATGTGACTAATATTATTTTGTGCATGTTATAAGTTATAAATAAATATAAACAAACAACACTAACCCGATAACATTAAATCTAAATACCAAAATGATTCATTTACTGTGCTTTTGATATTTACTGTTTTTAGGTATTAGATATTTGGCCGAATAGTGAAGAATAGGCCGAATACCGAATAGTAACTGAATATTCGTTACATCACTAATTCTCAATTATAAAACATTTTTGTATTTATTTTTAATGGACAGCAATTCCAAAAATAAATTTTCAAAGAGAAAATAGACAAAATTAATTTCCAAATATTATATGTAAATATTGCATTGATTGGAAAAAAATGTTTAATTATAGATGTGAATCAGCATTCTATCAATTAGCAGTCAGATACTATGCTGCTGAGCCTGGAAGATTTCACAAAGCATAAACATAAATCATTCAAGATTTTTTTAACTAATTTTCTTGAAAAGTTTGAGAATCATGCTTTCTTTGCTTGATAAAGGTTGATACCAAGGTTTATCCACACAAACAATATCACTGAAAACTGTGATGACCATGTCATGACCTCCCCTTGTTAGAAACTTAATAGAAGTATTATAAATGTTGAAACATTTACTACTGTAAACCAAGTGTTGAATAATTGAATTTTTTGCTGAAACTCATGTTTTAATAATTAAAAGCAAAACAAAAGATTCCATAGAATTTATAAAGTAAGATGGATAAGTCAAAAAATTTTATGCTGACAATGATAAAGATAAGCAATCAATGTAATTGAGAGTTAGCATATTTTCTAAAGTTAAAAAATATGTTTAATTTCATAATTTCCAATTTGATCTCTAATTTTTAGCTACAGAATTTGTTACAATACAGTTTATTATTTTATATGGAATTTTGCAAATAGATTTATGTAAATAATAATAATTATTATAATTTTTATATAAAAATTATAATAATTATTATTATTTACATAAATCTATTTGCAAAATTCCATATAAAATAATAAACTGTATTGTAACAAATTCTGTAGCTAAAAATTAGAGATCAAATTGGAAATTATGAAATTAAACATATTTTTTAACTTTAGAAAATATGCTAACTCTCAATTACATTGATTGCTTATCTTTATCATTGTCAGCATAAAATTTTTTGACTTATCCATCTTACTTTATAAATTCTATGGAATCTTTTGTTTTGCTTTTAATTATTAAAACATGAGTTTCAGCAAAAAATTCAATTATTCAACACTTGGTTTACAGTAGTAAATGTTTCAACATTTATAATACTTCTATTAAGTTTCTAACAAGGGGAGGTCATGACATGGTCATCACAGTTTTCAGTGATATTGTTTGTGTGGATAAACCTTGGTATCAACCTTTATCAAGCAAAGAAAGCATGATTCTCAAACTTTTCAAGAAAATTAGTTAAAAAAATCTTGAATGATTTATGTTTATGCTTTGTGAAATCTTCCAGGCTCAGCAGCATAGTATCTGACTGCTAATTGATAGAATGCTGATTCACATCTATAATTAAACATTTTTTTCCAATCAATGCAATATTTACATATAATATTTGGAAATTAATTTTGTCTATTTTCTCTTTGAAAATTTATTTTTGGAATTGCTGTCCATTAAAAATAAATACAAAAATGTTTTATAATTGAGAATTAGTGATGTAACGAATATTCAGTTACTATTCGGTATTCGGCCTATTCTTCACTATTCGGCCAAATATCTAATACCTAAAAACAGTAAATAACAAAAGCACAGTAAATGAATCATTTTGGTATTTAGATTTAATGTTATCGGGTTAGTGTTGTTTGTTTATATTTATTTATAACTTATAACATGCACAAAATAATATTAGTCACATGTATTCACAATTTATAATTAGAAAGATCAGCACATGTACAGTACACACCTACTTGTTCGAGAATCGTCTCACGTCCGAGGGTCTGACCCTGCCTATCCTTCTTTTTAAGCGCTCGTCTTTGCTCTTCACTTTCTCTTTCCTCTATTGCTCTAGTCCACATATGCCTAAGCATACATCATAATACGCGCTCATGATACTTTCGATTCGTCACTTTTCCGTCGTAGATTTCCCATTTTACAATTACATGACTCATAGCCTAGTGATAACGGAGAAAAGAGAGAAATAGGATGTCGGTATAAGTCACAGTTATGGTTTCACAGATTTGAGACAGCTTGGTAGCCCAAACGGCCCCAGGCTTTCGCCTGTGCACGCTAAGTGACTTTCATTACAAGCGTTTAGCTTTCCGAAGTCTATGACAACAATTGTTTGGCATTNTTATTTATTACTTTGAAAGACAATTTTAAGAAAAAAAAATGAAATTTTACTCATTTACTGTAGCATGCACTTTTTAAAAAATGTGACACAGTATAAATGAGTAATTGATATATGAAAAATGAACAGAATTTCATACTGTATCTATTGTATTTGATATATTTGAGGATTTGGTGGCAATGTTATTTATTACTTTGAAAGACAATTTTAAGAAAAAAAAATGAAATTTTACTCATTTACTGTAGCATGCACTTTTTAAAAAATGTGACACAGTATAAATGAGTAATTGATATATGAAAAATGAACAGAATTTCATACTGTATCTATTGTAT